GTTCGATCCCCGGCTGCTCCCCGGCCACCAGAGGAGGGTCCCACATGGCGCGCAGACCTCTCCTGCCGCCCAGCAGTGTACTGCTCCCCTCAGCAGTGTACTTCAGTCCTTCTGCCTGTTCTGCTCCCCGCTCTGGCTCTGGTGAATTCTCTCACCCTCCCGTGCTTCTGACTGTACCCAGTGCTTGTATAAATAAATAAACAAATAAATAATTTTTTAAAAAAGTTTAAAACCTTTATAAGTCAGAGGAGGTAATTTGGACAATACCCTAAGATAGTAATAAAATGTATTCACTAAAATGTTTTCAGCTGCAAATAACAAAAAACTAAAGGTGACCTACACAAGGAAAATGTGAAAATTTCACATAATAAGACATGTGGTCCCTAGGTTGATTTAGCTTTCATTCTGTCATTCTCCATACCTCTTCTTAAGGGGCCATGATCTCTCTCCTCTCATAGTCTTAAAATAGCTACAGCAATTTCAACCATCACATCCTTACACAATTATATTCAATGGCCTGGAAGAGGTAGGTAGAATGTGTGTTAACAAGGAGAACAGTCTTTTTCAGAAGTCTTTGGCAAAATTCCCCAGCACTCATTAGCTGGAATTAGATCACCTGGGGACCCCGAGCTGCATTGAATGCCGGGAAAATACTTATCCAGCATTTCTTTCACCTTTTGTGATGAGGGTGGCTTTTGCCTCCAAGAAGAAAGGGAAGAGTAGTAGCTACTGAAAAGGAAACCAACAGTTTTCTCTGCATTTGAAAGATTTTGAGCAAAATAAGTGATGGGATTATGTTGAATTCTCCTTTCCTTCAGGTCTTGATTCTCTCATTCTGCTCTTTATTACTCCTCTCTACCTGTACTTCTACTTTTTAAATTTTTTTTTAAGATTTATTGTTATTTATACAAGAGCTGGGGTACAGGCCAAAGGGGCAGGAGGGTGAGAGGATCCAACAGAGACAGAGCTGGGAGCAGCACAGGCAGGTGGACCAAAGACACTGCTGAGGGGAGCAGCCAGCGAGACAAGAGAGGTCTGCCGCACCATGTGGGAATCTCCCTGGCCAGCCGGAGATCAAACTTGTGCTGCAGAGGCTGCGGACAGCTTCACAACTCTGCGTTCAACCCACTGCACCACCCGGGAGGCCCTACTTCTACTTTCAATCATCACTTTTCCACCTTCTTTTTCTCTTCTTTTTAAAGCGTAATCTCATTCTCTACAACATCATGATACTGATTTAATTTTGATGTAATTATCTGAAAATTATATCTAAAGAATTTGATATGGATACTTCTGAAGGTGTGTTAGTAGGTCTAAAGATACTCTAAAACAACATTTTGAGTTTCAGATAGGCTCACATATCACTACCTGATATTGTTACTGGTGTGCTAATGAAAACTTGCTTAATTTCCACTATTTATACAAGAAAATAGTACATTCACTTACATTGTGTGCTTGGCACATAATTGACAAATGTTAATGGTTTTAAGTAATAATCTTTAATCCATATTTTACTTCATCCCTTTTTAAAAAATGAGAACAAAATGCATTTTTCTGGAATATTCATCGATTCTTAAAGATTAAATACTAACAGCCTCTTCTGAGACTCCGACTTTATTTACTTATGACATATTTAAAACATATGAAAACCATTATAAGCAGACTTGACTAAATGAGATTCTTTTTTAACTATGATGCAAGTTCTCAGAATTGTCTTTCAAAAAAAAGTTTGATGTCACATCAATCAAGTAGTCTAGAAAAATATTTTTTAAAGCATGATGTGATAACATACATTTGTAGAGGTGTAAAACTATACCGCTAATATATAGACAGTGTTATAAACCAACATTATTTCAATAATTTTTTTAAGGCGAAAAAGGAAATCATTATTTGTTCTGAAGCTGTCTAGAGCTTATTTGAATGCTCATCTTGATTTCTGGCTGAGCTGAGATAATCTGACTTGCTATTACAGATTTTGAACTAGAACCTATAATGTGGTTTGATTCAACAAATTTTGTCTTTGTCTTGAACATTAATTTGAGCTGAACAGCAGCCAGCCAAGTGGAGGTATGGAGATTATGAATGAAGGTTTATGCTTCAGCTTCTGAGACATTATCACTAACAAACATGTTAGGCACTTAAAATGTTTAGAAGTGATTTTACATATAAGAAAATAGTACATTTACTTAAATTGTGTGTTTGACACACAATTTTTCAGGTACATGTGATAAGATATGAACGATGACTTGAAATCATGATGGTACTGCCTAATTATGATTTGTGATTCTTTTGAGTGAGGCTGGTGTAATGAAAACTGCAGCAAATTTAGAGATTGGGTCCCTAAATTCTGCTACTTGTTAAGTATCAACTTTGGGAAAGGAGCTTCATTTGGCTTAGAAGTAGTTTCCTTATTTGTAAAATTGGACCAGTGATAACAGCTTATCTTTTTTCAGAGTTACTGCCAAGAGCATATGAGAGTGCACACATTTCACAGAAGTACACACGTAAGTTAGTACCTAACTTTAGGGACATCATATATATATATAGAGATATATAGATATATATATCTTTTTCAATACTATGTTTTTTTATTGTATTTTCAACTGCATGGAACTTGTCCACTTTAAACTCTTGCTTTTCACTGTGTATTTGTGAGACAGTGGGATAAAAATCACATTGAACTTGGTAGTTCTGCCTCCTTTTCTTTTTTTTTTTTTTTTTTTTTTTTTTTTTAAAGATTTATTTTTATTTATTTATACAAGCACTGGGTACAGTCAGAAGCGTGGGAGGGTGAGAGAATTCACCAGAGCCAGAGCAGGGAGCAGAGCAGGCAGAGGGACCGAAGTACACTGATGAGGGGAGCAGCGGGCGGCAGGAGAGGTCTGCAAGCCATGTGGGACCCTCCTCCAGTGGCCGGGGAGCAGCCGGGAATCGAACCGGCACTGCAGAGGCTGCGGGCAGCTTCACAACCCAGTGCTCAACCGCTGCGCCACCGGGGAGGCCCTCTGCCTCCTTTTCTGATCTATTGTTTCATTTTTTGTTAATTAATGCAAATTTTATTTGCTGAAATATTTTCACTAAAGGCCTGTGCAAAAAAATTGATATTTTACAACCATATGAGTCTTCTTTTCCTTTTTCATCTAAAGTGTTTTCTTTCATCCATTTAGAATGAAAATGTTTGGGCATCCTGTCCTGTTCTTTCACCTCACTGTCAATCCAGCACTTTTCTGCCTTTACTTTATCATATTTTTTCTTTATTTTGAAATAACTTCAAACTTACAGAAAAGTTGCAAGGGTGTAACAGGGAATTCCCCTATATTGTTCACCCAGAGACTCTGGGATTTCACCAAGACACTGTCTCAATAATGTCCTTCAAAGCAAAAGGATCCAACCCAGGGCCATATGTTGTTATGAGTGTATGTGTATTATGTATCTTCAGATTCCTTCAATCTGGAGGAGTTCCTTGGTTATTTTGTAAAGTGCCCATCAACTGGGTTTGATGCATCTTTCCTTATGACAGATTAAGATTATGCATTTGGTGTGAGATAGAAGTGAGTCTGTGCTTTTCTTATTGTATATGATGTCAGTTTGCCCCAAATAATGTTAATAGTGTCTGCTGATAAAATTCCTCTTTTGTCTTTTGTAATTAATCGCTGTAGGGAGAAATTTTAAGGCTATGTTCTCATCCCAACTTTCACATTCCAGAGTTAGCATCAGTTGCTATTTCCTGGATGAATTTTTACTATACTATATAAGTGGTAATTACTATACTATATAAGTGGTAATTTTCTAATTCCATCACTCCATATAAGCTTATTAATTGGCCTTCTAGTCTATGGAACAGTTTTTACCTTCTCCCCATGTGTTTAATCATTCACCTCTCTATATCAGTATGGACTCATGAATTCCTTTTCTATTCAGTAGGATGTAATCAGTTACTAACATTATTCATTTTGATGCTCAACTGGTCCCGGATCTGACCAGTGTGACTCACACTTAAACTGAGTCCTTTGTATTTCTGATATGTTCCATCAGTCTATGGGCACTTCAATCTTTTTGTTATAAAGATATGTTGCAGACTTACCTTGCCTGTCCATGCCTCATACTTTTGCTACAAGGAATCCTTTTAGTGGAGTGTGATATTTAGATACAAAGATCTGGGCATTAAGTGTGGTCGTTGCTACAGGTTCTCTTAGTGGACAGAATTAGGGGATTTGTATGTGTATATGCATATACACACATATGTGTTAGATATACAACATATGTGTTAGATATACATATGCATATGTGTTAGATATACAAATATATTTTGCATATATATGATTTAAACATGTATTTCCACATCTCTATATATTCTCTTAGTACAAAATAATCCCTATAATTCCTACTTAACACACAAAGCTCATTCTGGTTTCCATATTTGTAATTCCCTTCTCCAATAGTGAGAAACCTGGCTTTCATTATCCTCAGTATATTTACTTATTGCTCAATTTGCCTTTATGTACTTTTCTCATGCCTGCCAGGCTGTCACCCTCCTTGGCTGCCTTCCTAGTGTTGTAGATGCCAATCACCTTCCATACTTGGATCGGCTTAATGTTTTAAAACTAAGTTATCAAGAAAGAAGAAAGGAATGTAGTTTGCTCATGATTATTGGAAAATTTTAATTAAGTGTATTTAACATCACTAATATTTAAGGTGTTTTTCAACAAGCCCATGAAAAAGTAAGCAAAATACATGAGGCAATACAGGTAAGAAATGTAATGTCTACATGTTGCATATCACCTAAATGTTCATTGGTAGGGAACTAAATAAATTATATTAACAAGTTGTATACTGTCCAACCATCAAAAAAGCATTAACACAGACCATTATTTATTGATCTGAATAGTCTTCCACTATGTAGTACATTGAAAAATTGTTACATAATTTTTGTTACATAATTTTATATCCTATTTTAACATCCTATTTTTGCATGTGTGTATACGGAGTAAAAAGAATGAGTGCTCACTTTGGCAGCATATATACTAAAGTTGAAATGATACAGAGAAGATTATGATTTCCCCTAAGCAAGGATAATACACAAATTCATGAAGCATTCCACATTTTTAAATCCATCATGGATCATGACCCTTAAATGAAAGTTTGAAAGACAAAAAAAAATTAAAAGAAACAAGAAACTATTAATTAGAATCTCTGTGTGTCTATTTCAAGAAAATAAAACTCTATACATAATAACAAGGAAAGAAAATGTATGACATTTGTAAAATGTCCTTTATGAATAAAGATGTCCTTTATGAATAAAGAGTTCTTGCCTGATAAATAGTTTTATTAGAGAATGGAGACATGTTTTTTGTACCTGGATGAGGTAACAGTTGTATTTGGATTTTACAGCCTTACATCAAATAAGAGTCATATTTGCCACAGTTCCTACCTGTGTTAAAGATGGGCCACATCTCTATCTTTGAGCAGGGATGTAGTCGTACTGGATCTTTTTATTCTCCCCTTGGTGAGAGCACTTAAGGTCTATTCTCCAGACAAAACTATAATGTCAACATGTTTTACATTAGAAACTCAGACCTTATTCTGATGTTAAACCTTGGAGCTCTTAAACTTTATTCCTTAGAGCTAAATGTTTGTGCCCTTTTACAAAGTACTCCCTATTTTTCCCTACCTCCTAGTCCCTGCCATCTACCTTCCTATGTTTCTATGAGTTTGATTTTCTTTTCTCTACTTTTCTTTTTTTTAATTCCATGTGTGATACCATGCAGTATTTGTTTTTCTCTATGAGATTTATTTCACGTAGCATAATGTCCTCAAGATCCATCCATGTTTTAACAAATGCCAACATCTCCTTCTTTCTCACGACTTAATTATATACATATATATATATATACCACATCTTCTACCCATTTGTCCTTAGACAGATACTTAAGGTGGTTTCAATATCTTAGCTATTGTGATAATGCTGTAATGGATATATGAGTGCAAATACCTTTTTAATATCATTTTTATTTCCTTTAGACAGATACCCAGAGTGGGATTGCTGATCACATGTTAGTTCTATTTTTTTTTTTTTTAAATATCCAGGGAACTTTTTTTTTTTTTGAAGATTTATTTATTTATTCATACAAGCACTGGGTACAGTCAGAAGTGCGGGAGGGTGAGAGAATTCACCAGAGCCAGAGCGGGAGGCAGAGCAGACAGAAGGACCGAAGTACACTGAGGGGAGCAGCGGGCGGCAGGAGAGGTCTGCGCGCCATGTGGGACCCTCCTCCGGTGGCCGGGGAGCAGCCGGGGATTCGAACCGCCTCGCAGAGGCTGCGGGCAGCTTCGCAACCCAGCGCTCAACCGCTGCGCCACCGGGGAGGCCCTGTTAGTTCTATTTTAATTTTGTGACTATGTCTACCCCTTTGATCACATCATCAACACCAGCTTGGAGGTACTAGATGTAGGAAGAAGCATGAACCACAGCAGAGGGCTGGAAGCAGTGTGGGTTACATCTGGATGTTGTATAGCAGCATCAGTAAAATTACTTGCCTTTGGTGGGTCTCTGAACCTTTCATCTCATTGTGATGAAAAAATCAGGGTAAAATTCTCTAAATTTCCTTTTCATTTTTCTTTAAACTTTTATGTGTTGCCTGATTTTTAAAAATGAATACTACTACATTTCTAATTAAAAAACTTACATTTTGGGGCCTCTCCGGTGGCGCAGCGGTTGAGCGCTGGGTTGCGAAGCTGCCCGCAGCCTCTGCGGCGCCGGTTCGATCCCCGGCTGCAACCCGGCCACCGGAGGAGGGTCCCACATGGCGCGCAGACCTCTCCTGCCGCCCGCTGCTCCCCTCAGCAGTGTACTTCGGTCCTTCTGCCTGTTCTGCTCCCCGCTCTGGCTCTGGTGAATTCTCTCACCCTCCCGCGCTTCTGACTGTACCCAGTGCATGTATAACAAACAAACAAAACAAAACAAATAAATAAATAAATAAATAAAACATGCCTCTATTTAAAAAAAAAAAAAAGAACTTTCATTTTGAAAAGAAAATAATGTCTTAATGATACTCAAAACTCAATAAGAGCAACTCAATTTAAAGATGGCTTAAGATTTGAACATACTTCAGCAAAGAAGATAATGAATTATGATTAAGCAGATGAAAAAAATATTCAACACAATTAGTCACTGGGGAAATGCAAATGAAAAATACACTAAGATTATATAACACACTGTTCATAATGGCTAAAATTTTTTAATACTGATAATACTAAGTACCGATGAGGTTGTGGAACAACTGGAACTCTCATGCCTGGTTACTTGGAGAACATACAACTCAGCAATCCCTCTCCTAGGTGTTTACTCAAATGAAATAAAAACATGAACATGAAAGCCTGTATATGAATGTTTACAGTGATTTGATATATGACCTCTAAAGACTGGAAACCAAATATTCTCCAACTGCTAAAGAGATAAGCGCACTGTGACATATTCATACAATGAAATACTACTCATGAACAGAAAGGGAAAAAAAAAAACTACTGATATGCTCAGCACATAAAAGAATCTCAATTGCATTTTGCTAAATGAAAGGAGCCAGGCTCAAAAAGGCTGCATGGTGTATGATTCCACTTTGAGACTACAGAACGACCTCAGAATTGTCTTGCAAAGGGGCCAGAGCACTAGCTTTTTTTAATCCACCACCTTGCATCCCTCATTGATTGAAATTACCTTTGGGAATTTTCCCTATCTGGTACTTTCAGCCTGCTTGGCACATGGGCCAGCACTCTCTACTGCCAGAGAAAGTAGTTAGGAAAAGAGTATCAGGAGCTGCAGAAGATCTCTGGGTGCTTGGACAGAATATTGGTAGACACCAATAGCATCAGCTACCATGTTTTAATTAGTTAAAACATTTTCAGAAATCTCTTTCCTATTGAAGACTTCAGAACTGTGTAACCCTTGCTGTCCAACTGATTAGCCCTGAAAAGTTTCATTACATCCATTAATACCTTATCATCAACCTGCTATTCTGTTTTCTCTTGCATGGTTAGGTTTAGGCTATTGAGGGCCCTATTCCTTTCATTGACCAGCCCATTCTTCATGGTTCTGTGGAGCCATGTATCTCTTTTTTACAAAAAAATAGGTGTCTGACAAGAACATACTTGGTTGTGGGTCAGGGCATCATGATCCCTTAAGAAACATTACCTTGTGGTGCAACCTTAGAGGCAAACATTTGCCAAATTCCTGTTATGCTGGTTTGATAATACCTCCATAGCAGAAAGTGCAAACAGATATCAAGTGGACTCACTATATTGCAGGTGACAGACTCTGGTGACCCACAGTCCAGGGTACCTGACTCTAGATGAGATTAATTGCCCCTGAGAACCCAAGAAAGGTGTAGTAAATCAAAATGAGGAAGGATTAAGAAGCATGCAGGCCTCAGGGGCCACTGGAAGCAGGGTCTTCAGTGTCTCCCTTCCCTGCATCAACACAATCCTCTTATAGACCTGCTTTCTCCACATATCAGGAGACATGGTTGCCAACAGCTCCCAGTTTTATACCCTAGAGCTCCAGTCACCAGGAAAGTCTGAGCTGACTCTTTTGGTTCCAAGTCAGAAATAATTAGAAGGTACTCACTGTCCCAGTTTGACTTATATGCCCTGGTCTGGGCAACTATAGGCTTTAAAAACTAGATATTCCCTCAGGGATCATTCCTGTGAAATAAGGGGATATTTTTCAGGGATGGGGTGGTGATGCTTGGCAGGCAAAAGTAATGAGTAAGAAGAAGAAAAACAGTGTTAGAGTCAAGAAATAGTTTCATATTATTCAAATGAGATGAGGTCTGCATTTAAAAGGATAAGATAGTCAATGCTGCAATAACAAATCAACCCAAAGTTCTGTGGTTTTACTTCTCACTCACATGAAATTCAGTGTGGCTAGGATGGTTCTTAGTAGTGTAGCAACAGCATCTAAAACACAAAATTGCCACAACCATGGACTCATGATGCCTTGGGTCCATTGAATGAGTGCTGCCAGTCTCTGGCCAGAATTAGCCTCATAGCCTGAAAATCAACTGCAAAGACATCTAAGAAATGTGGGGAGCACATGAGTATTTGGTGAGTACTAACTCTGTCAAGTCATTGTTTCCACTCAATCAAATCATTTAGAAGAGGCAGGAATAGTGAGGAGATGCTCCACAAGGGAGGGAAAATTTGTTTTCTATCATTTAAGAGACTTCTAGCTTAAATAATTAGAGGGAAAGCAATAGAATTTCTTGCTGATCTTAAAGGACAATAATGAGCCCATTTAATAGGGTGCAGAGATGTATAAAAATGAGATTGGACAACTGGATTGGGACAAGGTTGCCCAAATGGCTTGAATGTCCAGTCAAAGAATATATATGCTAATAGGTAGGAACTCAGATACTACTGAGAGTTTTTGAGCTAAAAACTAATATGAACAAGGTGCAATTTTCAGGATGATTAATCTGGCAGCAGTATGTAGTTTGGCTTATATTATTCCATGCACAGTCATTGTAAGCATTTTCTTGACCTCAAAAATATTCTTTGAAGGGCTTGCATTTCTGATAAAATGGCAGGCTAGATAGCCTGATAAAATACCCCACTATAAAATAACTCAGATACAAGGAAAGACAAATCCAAATGGCACAGGAAGTTCATTTCCGCTCCCATTTCTATGGCTTAATAAGAAGCTGCCTCAGCAACTCTTTGCTGTTCAGCAGAACAACTTTGCCAATGGCTGGATTCCAAAAGTTCTTCCTTTACATTAAGTTGGTTTCTTCTACTAGGAAGCTTCTGTTGTCATAATCTAATTTCTCTATAAATTTAAATTATGTATTGTCCAAACACACCTATCCACAGGACAGAGAAATGATGGGGAATCCAAGCATTCTGCTGATTTTCTTCCTCTAGGGTTTCCAGTAAACTTCATATTAAATTTATTACACATGTTACTAATAGTATATATATCTGTGCCTTTTACATAAAAAAATGATCATTTTATTTTTTCCTAAAAATTTCAAGTATTTAATGATCAGTGTAAACCCCAACACAATACACCAATATGATTTTGTGCATTTAGAGAGGAAATATTTCCTGGGAAAG